TGTGTAAAACACAAGGTTTTTTGCCACTCCAAGCTTCTTGTAGAGTCATTGATGTGAGTATACTTATAGGGCACCTATTCCTTGTATATACTGAAGTAACCATGGCTTCAGCCTAATACTCATGCCCAAGGTGTTGTACATGAAGCATACTCCTTGCTATCTCTACAATGGTGTGATTTTCTCTTTCAACAATTCCATTTTGTTGTGGAGTGTAAGGAATAGAGGTTTGTCTTGCAATACCTTGAATCTTCAAGAATTCATCAGAATATTTTGATATATATTCACTTCCATCATTTTCATAAAATATTTTGATCTTGCACTCACATTGTTCTTCTACAAGAGCTTTAAACTCCTTAAACCTTGAAAAGCATTCACTCTTAGCTTTAATGATATTAATCCTTACTTTTCTTGAAAAATCATCAATAAATGTAACAAAGTACCTTGCTCCTCTAATTGATGGTGTCTTCATTGGTCCACAAATATTAAAATGCACAATCTCTAATAATTTGGTTGCATGTGTTGCAACTCTATTTGGAAATAAACTCCTTTATTGTTTGTCTTGTATGCAACATTCACAAGTAAGTATCATAGCATTGTGGCTGAAATGACCAAGATCCAAGCCACTTACCATAGATTGAAGCTCCTTCATGCATTTGGCATTTAAATGACCAAGTCATTGATGTTAGATTCCAAACTTTTCTTGGTCTTGTGGAAAATCAACAAATGTAGCCACTTCAATTCCATTCACCTTTTTACAAGTGATGAAGTAGAGATTTCTATCTCTAAGGCCTTTGGCAACATATTGTCCACCCATTGTCTTCACAAAGCATCCATTCATGTCAAATTGAACCTTACAACCATATGATACAATTTTGCTCACCGAAAGGAGGTTCTTTTAAATCTTTGGCACATATAAGACTTCTTTCAATCTGATCCTCTTGATTTGGCCTTTCACAATGATTTTCACAATAATTGAGTCAATTCCAATGGCTTGTACCATGCCATTGTCTCCCAATCAAACTTTGGTTGCTGAAATTTCTTCATAAGTATCAAATGAATACTTATATGGTATCATGTACTTAGTAGCACCTAAATTTATAATCCACTTAGACATTGCAGCCATTGAGGCTCTTTCACTTGCCATGAAAGCATAGTCATTTCACCAAAGTTATCACAAGCATTGTTTGCATTCTTTCTATCTCTTTTCTTGGCTTTGTAGCAATTTCTAGTAAAGTGACATGGTTTTCCACAATTATAGCAATTTCTCATGTTGATCTTTGAACTATCACGTTGGTGAGAATAGCTACCTTTGCCTTGTCTTGAGAATAGAGCCGAATTCTCACTTTGATGTTTTTTTTTTTTTTTTTTTTCTCTTTGTTATTTCATTGGCAAGTCTTGATATGACATAGTTCATAATAAGCTCCTTCATGTTGATGGACTCCAATGCCATAATGAGGTAGTTGTAGTACTCGAAAAGACTCATGAGTAATGTCAACGCAATTTCTCTATCATCAATTGGTGTGTCAACAACTGCTAGCTGGTTTTCAAGTGCTTTTATTTTGTTGAAATGAGCCATGAGGTCATCTCTTTCTTCCATATTTTTTTTAAGAACTTCTTTCTTGTCCATAGAATGTTGGCAAGGTTTCTACTCTCATAGATGTTGCAAAGAGTCTTCCATGCTTACACTGGTCTAATACAAGCAATTATATGTGAAAAGTTAGCATCATCAAGATTTGTTGTAATTATGCCAAAAGCCTTCCTTTTATGTCGTTTATACTCTTTTTTTACCTTCACATCAGCATCATTACTTGGAAGGTCTTCACTTTCAAAATCAACAAGAAGATGTTATTGCCTTAGAAATCCGAAATGCCTTCTTAATGAGTAAACTATTATTTACACTCTTCAATCACTCTCAACTTTACTTGTAAGACTTTTCACAAGTTTGATAACCTCTTGAATAAGCTTTACCTCTCTTCAATCACCTCTCTTCTTTCACAAAACACTTTTAACTTCACAAAGCACCTCTTATCACAATAAGTGGATTTCTTAAGGAGATTAATACATAAAAGTACAAAGTTAGAGCACCAATGATGAAACTCAGCAAAGAAATATAATATAAGTGTCGTTAAATATTAATCTAAGGTATCTAACAACCTCAAAGATTATGAATGCAGTTAACAACAAATAAGAGCATAACTACATCAACAACTAGATACAAAAGAAGATTTAGAAGATACCAAATTCTAACATCAACAACAATCATAAGATCTACTCTTAATACCAACAAAGACTTCAAAGCACTTCAAAACTCATAACTAAAGGTGTATGGGCCCATAACCTATTAAAAAAAAAGTACTTTGAAATCACAACTTTTAGCATCAGCAAGGTTCTACACAAAAGGGAGTATGGAGTAAGATGACTCTTACTTCATATACTTGTTACTTATAGGTAGTGGTTGCCAACCAATGAGGTAAATTCCATTGACGTTACATCCATTTCTACTTCATCCAACTAAACCCTAAGTTCTTCCTTAACCTAGCTACGACCTACAAATCTTAGCTGCCACCTACAAATCCTAAAAGCCACCATAGTAACTTCTTTATATTCTTTGCTGCCTTTTGACCACTAGCAACTTATCTAAGATAATACCTTTTATTAAGTGACTTATTTTAACAAGGACTTACAAGAAAAATCTAAATTGCTTAAATATGAAAATAATAAGGTAATTAGAATTTATGTATGATAAAAGCTACTAAAAAAAGTATTTTTTAGCACTTTTGAATTGAAATTTGGATTATTTTCTTCTCATATGGATGAAACCTATTAGGATTTTCTTAGATACCTGTGAAATACAATTTCACCTTTTACAACTAGATGCTTGGTGCATTCCCAAGCAAGTCAATATGTAATACAACAATACTCTTGTGAGTCATGTCAAAATAATAAAGTATACAATACAACATACCATAGACTATTGCAACCAATTCTGCTATCTACGGGTGGTTGGGAGCAAATTACTGTGGATCTCATTGTGTGTTTGTTGTAGATGCCTCATTATCATATTGTAGTTGCTATTTTTACTGTAGATGCCTCATAATACTTTGGATATAAATAATTATGATGAAAGATAGTATTATTGCCAATTTTAAGATTTCATATACATAATTGATTATTTTGATATTGTGCACAAAAGCTTTGATATGTAGACACAAGTATTAGCATGTCAAATTATTCTAAGATATTACACCTTCAAAATTCTACTCATAGAATTTTAAAAAGTAAGAGAGAGTGTATCGTACCTCTACACGATCGACTATTTCAATTAAAAAATCATTCTTAAGGTATAATATTTGTATGAATTACATACATCATTTATTTTTATATTTTTTCTTCAAATCATTGTAAAAATATAATAATTTAATATCATCTGTCTATCTTATATTCTATTTTTGACACCAAGTATTGTTGTATTATAATAAAATCATATGATAAAAATATAATCAAAAATAAATTTATAATTAATATCTAAACATCTTGATTTAATAGTAATTCAAGTTATTTAAACATAGATTTTATAAAAGCCTCTTTGTTTATTTTTTTGACTTAATAGCTAATATATTACATGTTGGTTAGTAATTTTACCTTTTAGGTTGTAGAAATTCTTTGACTATCTTAGAAAGTCCTTAAATTAGTAAAAATATGATAAAAGAAATAAGTAATTAGTATATTTGATACTTTGATTAAGTTAAGAATAGGATCAAATTAAAAAATTCCTAAAATAGATTGGATTGATACTCTAAGATTGATCATTTGTGGAACAAGGTCAAAATCAAATCTCTAGCCATTAAAATGTCCGCCTAAGGCAAAATATAGAGGCATTTATAAATTAGAGATAAAGATTAGAGAACTAGCTTTAAGCTTGATGTAAAGGCATAAGGCTTGTTTTTATAAGATTTAGAATGACTTTGCAACTATTGTTTAAAATCAAGTTTTATATTGGTGTCTTTGAATTTATGCAATACAATTAAGACTAGCACTCTTAGCTAACACGTGCAATTGGTGTGACATCTATAGTTCAAAATTTGTCAGTACTTGGTTCATTAGGTGTACTAAATGTACATAAAATTTTATATTAATCTAACAATGCAATTGAAAGATATTTGGTTTTTGTTACAAGAGTATATCAAAAGTTAACAATTTGAGTTTAGATAAGATTTTTATGATATCTGAAGATTTATAAGTATAAATTAAATTAAATTTAGTATAGAATTAAAAGAATTGAAGATCAAGCTATATACAAATTTAAAATTGAAGTTGATAGTTGGAGAAGGAGAAATTGCTTCTAGAATACCTATATCAACTTTTGAATTAGCAACCAAGTGACATCAGTGTAGTTTTTTTTCTAGCAACTTATAAGTAAAATTGGGCTGAGTTTTTTTTAGCATAAAAAAGACTTATACTAAAATCAATCACTTGACTCAAAAGTCACTCTAAACAACTCATCACTGCCATTGCAACCCCACCTTTGAAGCACATGCTCACAACCTCCACCTCAGAGTCTCGCAACTGCACATTCAAGGTGTAGTTATGGCGCCGCCACACACTCTTCCACCATCCCATATTACCCTCCAAGCATCCACCTTCAATCCATGTGGGTCAATACTTCGCACAACCTCTTCACTCACTCTCAGCAACGCATCCATTGCTCAAACGCCTCCATGCGCTGCCTGCACCAACTCAATTGGATGCGTGTGCTGCATCTTCAACATCGTTATTCCCCACCACAATCACATCGTGGAAGGACACGGTTTACCCTTCTTCTCCACCACACCAGATCACATCTTCACCCATGCTTGCCTTCTTTCCACGACACATTACCTTAACATTCCATACCACGTTTGCTTTCGTGGAAATAGCACCCTCGCCTGTTTGTTTGCGAGCACGGTACACATGGAGTAGGGGACCTGATCGACCACAATGTTTGTGAACAGCCGTGACGAAAAGAAGATCGACTTTGCAGACTGCGAAAGGAAGATTGAGTGACCCGGAAAGAGGGACGAAAAAATCTGGACCATTTCTCGATTTGTGCGTGTCATCCTTGCGCAGGGGCCATGCTAATCTTCTCTGTATCGTTCCAATTTTATCAGATGTCTCCGAAGAGACGAAAGAGCTCTCGGCGGCGCAACACAACATACTCGCCCAAACATCCACCTCCAATCCCTGTGGGTCAACTGCCTCTTTTCCGTCCCTCACGCCACCACTCACATCAACGCTTCCATCCGTGAAACGGGTTCATCCGCTGCACCGACTGGATACCTGCGTTGCCCTGCCTCTCCAACATTCCTGCTAGCCACCACGCCCAAATCGTGGAACGACACAAATTCCTCCTCCTTCCGCCCAACATGACATCATGTCTGCACACACGCTTGACTGCTTCACACAGGACAAAAACATACCACACCACACTCGCTTTCGTGAAAAATATCACCCTAGGCATGGACAAGCAAGTCACTACGAACAGCTCATCACTGCCATTGCAACCCCACCTTTGACACACATGCTCACAACCTCCACCTCAGAGTCTCGCAGCTGCACATTCAACGTGTGGTTACAGCGCCGCCACACACTCGGCTCACATGTTCTCGTCTTCACCTCACGCTTCACAATGCACTCGCGCTGGCCGTCGCTTCGCGCAGGAAATGCTCCAGCAAAAGACAACAACGCCATGGTGTCCACAGCACACGAATCTAGACTCCGTCACCACAACCATTCTGGACATGCACATCACGTTGCACACAAAGAGCGGCAAGGGTCAAGCACGCAACATGTCAAGCAGTGACACAACTCCAAACAAATGCCTGGCTCACCTCGCCTCGCCTCGCCTCAACTCAACTCAACTCACCTCACCTCACCTCACCTCAGTGCTGCCATTCGTCCCGCTCCACAGACCTGGTCAGTGCAGGAAACCGAGATGAAGAGTCCAGCACCCGAGCCATGTGTGCGCGGATGTGATGATCCCCACATCATGAAATTGGCAAATGTGATGGCCCCGAGTCCCTGCACTGAAGTGGAGTGCTGTGAAGTCCAGTTCAACCATCACTTGGCTGTGAGCAGCGACTGCAACCTCCACATCCTGTCGGAAGCTCCCACCCTCGGGCTTGCAACGCTCCTCAGCCCTCACCCGGGGCTCTGTTCATGGACCTGCCTGGCTTGCACAACCGCCGGAAGTACTTCACTGGTTGAGGCGTCCTGTGCGTTGACGGCGTCTTTGGTAATGCAGTAAAGTTGGAGCTCATTGGTATTGCAGTGAACACGCCGTTGGAGCTCATTGGTACGGGCTTCTGTCACCGACACGTTTACATTTGCTTCACCTGAAGTGGGCAGGAGCTTCCATTTCATTTTGTGGAATCAACGCTTGGCTTCCTTCACTTGCGAAGCCCCTGCCTAACCATGCAATCAGGGTCGTTAGACTTTTTGGCCCCGATTATGATCCCAACACTGCCTTGCATGGACCATGACCTCCGGAGCTGTGATTTATAGGTTCCCTTTACCACATATACTGAAATCGTCAGGGTTAAACCTGCCGCTCGAAGGGGCTGGTAGCAGAGCGAATTTGCATTTGGATAGTACTGCAATGCTTCTGTTACTGCAATAAAAAGCTTGCAAATGGCTTCATAAGCATACGGTCAGACAACCTCTGGATGTCAATAGCATGGTCGAGCCTTGCATATGCACTAAGTTAGTTAAATATCTTGGCCTTACGAGATTGTGTTAACATTCAATCTGTGCACACTCAGGCACTGTACACGTTCTAATAAATGTGAAATGAAGGGTACATGCACCTGAAATAGGTGCAAATTGGATGATATGGAAATTTGATATGGTTGTCCATTTGACAAGGATGAAGTCCTAACTAATGGATGGATGGCTGTGCCACCAACAAATCCTAATTCTACAAAAGTAGCACAGTTCAAGGCAAATTTATTTATTTGCAAACATTTAATGAACATAATCTTTGTATGTCACGAGCTTGTTGATAGAGATTGAATTTATTTTATCCTAATGATTTATTAAGCAAATCTGCAAGTTGATCATTAGTGTTGACATAATATAGTTTAATTTCACCTTCAAGCACCTATTCACAAATAAAATAATAATGAATTTTAATTTGTTTTATTCAAACATGAAATACTAGATTTTGTATTAGTGTAATCTCTCCTTGATTATCACAATACATTTTAATGTTGTTTGTAGTTTAGTCATCAAATTTAGAAATGATTTATCTATTTTTTGTTATAAATTGGCATAACACTTTTGTTACAACATTCAATTTTAGTGAGAAGTTGATGTTGCTAGACAACATCTTGTACATTGTTGCTAAGAGCTCAATATTTATATTCTATCAAATATCTTGATACTATTAGTTGGCGCTTACTTGGCTAGCTAATATATCCTCCTTCCATTGTAGAAACATATGCTTCTTCTAACCTTTGTATTTTTAAACATGAGCTCCAATTTGCCTATATATACTTTATTATGGTGTAAGATCCTTCTTTATGATAACAAATTCCATAATCCATAATATACTTAATATCATATAGAATATGTTTTGTTGCTTCTAAGTGGATGTCTTTTGGTTTGGACATGAAGTTGCTCCCTTTATTCAATGCATAAGCAATGTTTGATCTTATAATAGTTAAAAATATGAATTTTCTAACTAATTGGAAAAAGAGTGTTGCATCACACAAGGGAGTTTGTGTATTGTTGATAAAAACTAATCCTTTTGGTAGAAGTAAACATACAAATTTATACTCCAATATTTTTAATTTCTTTAAGATGCTCTTTGCATAATTTATTTACTGAATGAAAATTCCTTTTGATGTTCTATCAAAATCAACTCATAAATATTGTTAACTAATTTCAAGATCAATCATATCAAACATACTTTGAAGATAATCTTTTTACCACATAATAAGCTTGATGTTACTACCAGTAACAAATGGATCGTCAATATATAACATAAATAAAACAATATCACCACCCTTATGCATATTATACATGTTTGCATCAAAATTTCTTCTTATCATATGTATGACTCTTAATACACTATTTGTCCTTTCATGACAAGATTTCCTAAATGATTGTTTTTGTCTGTAGATAGATTTTTTGAGTTTGCATACTAGTCATGTTTTTTTAGATAAGATGAATCTATCTAATTGAGTCATGAAAACTTCGTCTTTAAGAACACCATTTAGAAATGTTGTTTTCACATCCATGTGATGTATAGTCCAATTATTAGTAGTTATTAGGCTTATAGCAATTCTAATTCTAGACCACTTAATAATAGGAAAAAAAAAACCTTAGTGAAATCTATACTTCTTCTTTGTTCAAATCCTCTTGCAATTAACTTTGCCTTCTTCTTACTAGGTTGGTTGTTGATTCCAGGTTTCGACTTAGATATTCACTTCAATGATATAGGACGTTGCCCTTAAGGTAATTCTTCCAATGTTCAAGTGTTATTATTTTTACAATAAAGTCTATTTCTTCTTTCATTGTTTTTTTCCTCCCTAGATCATTAAAAGCTTGTGTGAAGTTGATATTTTCACCTTGTGAGTTGGTCTCTTCAAACTTTGTAGAATGAGTATTAAAACTTTTTAAATTTAATTGACACAAGTCATAATCTTTAATTGAGACATAAATAAAATAATTATCTAATTTGATGTTTGTTTTCCTAGATCTTTTGGATTTGCAAATAAGAAGGGTGATTTAAAGAAAAGAATCAAGACCTTGTTCACCAATACCAATTTGATCTATTATTCTTAGTATTGAAATGCTTTTCATAGACTCATTCTTTTGTACATTTTCTATACATACTATTATTGTCTATCTAGTAGAAGGTGGGCTAGGAGGTTATTTAATTATATCATCAAATAGTATATTTTAGTTAATGAAAAAAATCAAAACTTCTTTTTAATAATGGAAGTAGGATAAAATAAATTTTGGATCAAATTTTTCTTATTTATGATTGAACGAAAAGATTATAATGAAAAATAAAAAGTAACAAATACTCTCTCTCATTGTATCCAACCAAATCCGAGTAAATAGAAAATGCAGAAATAATTGTGAAAAAGATGTATAAGCACCACCTTGCCATTCAGCCTTTCAAACATTCCCATTCAAAACCAGAAAGATAAATCATTTATCCATGGCCCATCCATCTGTAAATCATCCTTCCACCCGCCCATCCACCCATCCATTCATTTTTCTTTTTCTTCATCCTGGACGCATCATTCACGAAACATTCATCTACACATTAATCCCTGAGTTTGTTTTAAAGTTCATTCATCCAACGAAGGGCACATCCGACTTGGATCAAGACTACGGACTATTGACTTCGACGCCAGCGTGGCGCCGCCTTTCGGGGGGGGGGATTCCACGTGGCACTGCCAGGAGGACAGAGCTGTGCCATGCAGTGCAAAGCAGGAAGGAACGAACGAACGAACGAACGAACGAACGAAAGGGAGGACTGATTCTTCTGTAGCGCGGATTTGACCACTCTTTCTTGCGTCGCCGCTCGCCTTCGCCAGCGACCTCGATGATGACGGTGATGCAGTACCGCCAGGTCGCATTTCTGTAGCATTGTTGATCAATCTGTGAGTCCAGGGATGACTGGAGCAATTGTCCAATTTCCTGAGCTGACTCTGTCCAAGTCTACAGATCTCCAATTGCTTGTTGCAGTCTCCGCAGAAAATCCCCTTTTGGATTGCTTTCAGGGACGGGGACTCGTTAGTTAGTGTGTTCCCTACGACGGCTCGCGTGTTCTGACTGGTAGTTACCGCGTTATCAGGTGGCTGAATCGTTTGTGGGGTTCCAGCGTTATTCCACTGAAGCGTGTGCTGTACTGTGGTAGTTGTTTTCTTGAAAGCTGTCGTGGCTTGGGTCACAGAGTCGCAGTGGGTAGCGCTACATCGAGGTTCTGAATACTTGTACTAAGAGAGAGAGAGAGAGAGAGGGAGAGAGATGCGAGACGAAGTTGTGGAAGGTAGATGCTATTTGGTCAGTTGTGGTGGTCGATTTTTGTCAGTGACTCATTAGGCTTTTGAGATGTTTTTGCGATCGTTTTTGACAAGTTCTGTGATAGTACCGCATTTGTGATGGTCCCAGCGAGGTGCTTGCGGTGCAGTCGGATTTTCCATTTTGAGGCTCGTTGTGTCTTGCGGCAAGGGGTTACAAGGTTTTACGTGAAGCTTAGAACGCTGTGAACGATGCTCCACTCTATAATGTAGTGAGTGTTTTTTAATTGTTTGGTTCCAATTTTTGTTACTAGAGTCTTTCGCTGTTCAAGGACAACCTGTGCACTTGTCGCAGGGACTCCCTTTACATTGTTTTACCACGCATACCTGACGTGGATACCACACAGCTGAGGATAAGGATTTAACTGGTATTTCGAATGAACTCGAGGGTACTTTGAAGTTTGCAACAAGATAGTGGAAATTTTTTGAGTTGCGGTTAACTCAGGAAATCGATAGGATGGCGCACAATTTGCAACCAGCAGAATTAGAAAGCAAGTCGTTTATCAAGCGCCATGTGGATAATTTCAGACGGCGTGTCTGGTTGCGGAAGGTGTGCTATGGCTTTCTGCTTTTCGCAATTGCAGCAGCTGTTGCCCTTGTGGGGTTACCTGACCAACGTGAGCTTTTCCCTCCCTTTCCTCTAGAATGCAACTGTAGTAGTTGAGTGCAACCGACGTATAAGCATTCTTTGTGTAATTTTGACAGCGTCGGGCCAAGCATTGAAGTTAAGCATGCATCGAAATTTGGATATGGCAGTGATTGAAGACGAGAGTGAAACTAATCTAGGTAATTTTCTACTTGACGCAGTTTCTCAATCTGGCCATTATGTGCTCAGCTTTCCCTCGAGCATAATCCCTACATACTGGCAGCGGGGGACGATTAATCACACCACGAGCTTTGACATGCAAATCGAAGATATCATCATCTTCGACTCCGACGTTTTGGTAATAGTACACGCACCTCCAAGTGAGGAATTTCCCACCAAAGACAGGCTTGAGTGTCGATACGGCAATCTTACGCACGCTGCCTACCGCCGGGCCACGGCCGTGCATCTCTACACCGATCGAGCTGCAGTGGTATGTGGTGCACCTCCGGAGAATATTCCCTGGGATATGAGCACGGTTCTTATCGAAATCGATTCTGAAATTGAAATCCGTCCTAAAGGAGAGGCCTCTCTTGACCACCAGCAGCCATTGCAGTGGCATTCAGGCATGGTGGTATATGAAGTCTTTCCAACGGAGGAGGACGTTGTGGTATTTGTGCACGGGATCAATCATACGTGGGGAGCTCATTCAAACGGTATCTCTGAGAAAGAGCGACTGCAGCAGTTTCAGTGCGTTTATGGAGACGGCTTCCGAAAACCTGTCACTGCCCAAGCCCAAGAGGTTTTCCGATGCGAACACCCTCCGGAGCATTTGATGCACGACTTGGCAGGGAAGAAAATGGGTATCAAGTTTAAAGGAACGATTCTTCCTTCAGTTGCATATTACAACCCTAAACGGAACTCGATGCCAGCAGATAGTCCAAAAACACTAGTCGGCTCAATAAACAGGAAGCTTCTGACGCCATTGACAGACTCGCAGACACCTGACCGGAAGCGACATAATATTTGTTCCTGCACGATGGTCTACAACGGAGCAAAGTTTTTGAAAGAGTGGGTGTACTATAACAGCCATCTCGGCGTGGAGAAATTCATTATTTACGATAATAACAGTGACGACAACTTGGACGAGGTGGTGGCAAGCTTGAGAAGCTTCAATGTCACCACGAAGTCATGGCCATGGGTGAAGACGCAGGAGGCTGGATTTTCCCACTGCAGTTTGCTAGCGCAGCCCGACTGCACGTGGATGCTATTCACGGACATCGATGAGTACTTTTTTCCAAAGAAACTTTTGTCGTCGACAGTGAACCAAACTTCGGAATCTGCTGCTGAACCTGCTGAAGAGCAGCCACCGACGACTGGCATGGACGAAACTCAAGCCCTAAACTCATCCATTCTTGCCAGGTTCGTTGAAGGCATTGTCTCGGGTCACCACTCAGAGATTAATGGCTCAGTAGGACAAATCTCCACATTGTGCCATAATTTTGGACCTTCGAATTTAACAGTCTCGCCTCCAAAAGGCGTGACTCAAGGATACACGTGCCGCATGAAGCAGACACAGCGGCACAAGTCTATTGTACTGTTGAGTGCAATCGATCACTCCTTGGCGAATGTGATCCATCACTTTACACTAAAGCCTGGATATGATCAGAAGCTGATCAGACCTGCGAAAGCAGTAATCAACCACTACAAGTTCCAAGTCTGGGGCGAATTCAAGGCCAAGTTCCGTCGCCGCGCTGCAACATATGTGGCGGATTGGACCGAGGACCGGAGCCTAACCTCAAAAGACAGGGTGCCGGATCTTGGGACAAAGGCTGTGAAGCCTGCGGATTGGGAGACACGCTACTGCGAAGTACAGGATTACGGTCTGCGGAAGTACATGCAGCAAGTATTTGGATCTGATGACGGCAATGGGAACTTGCATTTTCCGTGGGAGGGACCATCTTGAAGTCAAGAAATTGCAGCAAAAATTGTATATAACACCAGCAGCGCTACTGTAAGTTTCACCGCGTTACTTGTAGTACACGAAAAAACATCATGAACACTAGTTAAATTAGAAGAAGCCTTCACAAACAATAGTTGTGGGGCATAGACTTTTTCGGAAGAGCCTGAGTGGCAATTCCTGCCCAAATGTGCATACATTCCGCTAATGTTAAATGATTGACACCGGACTACTGCCTTGTCGGTTTCTCCCTGTTCGTTCCATAGTCTAATGAACGCATCTCAAGGATGATGGACAACAGATCAAAGCACCGATGTTCGCAAGCCCTAAAACCCAAACTTGTTACAATACGATGGTAGCCACACCCTAGGCTCCTGCATAAATTAGCCAACATATGTACACACATTACCGAAGTTCAGTAGCCGCAAAGCGTGACAATAATAGAGAATCTCCATGAATTGACCCAAGGATCCTCATGAACGAACCAGTATACTTAGGTGAAACACTTAGATACAGATTTTATAAATACGAATTTGAAACATCGGAAAGAAATACTACAGTATATTTCAGAAGGTGACGGCAGTTCCTAACAAAGCCATGAGCTGCGCCACAAACTCTGGGTGAGCCGGCCACGCAGCCCCAGTTACCAAGTGTCCATCAGTAAAACATTTGCTAATTGGCTCTGGCTCCAACCACTGTCCACCAGATAATACAACGTGGCTCTTCACGGCCGGATATGCTGTGCACTTCTTGCCCTGCACAGTTCCAGCGATTTACTCGACTTCAGCAGGCATATAATTTTGTGCTTAAGAGAAGCTCATCATAAGAGCTAGTCCGAGTCATAAGGTTGAGGACTACAATTTCTGCTGAATCAGAGACCACAGAATACTTTAAGTGAGCACTGCGATGTTCAATAATCGTGATCAGATTTAAGAACGTTGATAGTACCTTGAGCACGCCAGCAGCTGCCAAAATTTGCTGCCCATGGCATATGGACGCAATGGGTTTTTTCGCATCATCGAACTCACGAACCAAGTCCAACACCTTCTCGTTCAAAGACAAATACTCAGGTGCCCGACCACCTGGCACCACAAGTGCATCATAGTCTTGCACTTTCACTTCACTGAAAGTCGCAGTCAGAGCAAAGTTATGGCCAGGCTTCTCACTGTATGTTTGAGCTCCTTCAAAGTCGTGAACAGCAGTGGCGCAGGTATCTCCAGATTTCTTGTCAGGACAAACCGCATCAACCTGGTACCCCAAAGCTTGCATGGCTTGGAAGGGAACCATCGCCTCGTAGTCCTCCATGTAATCCTGTAATACAAGGCAGTAGAAAGCGACGTGATAACAATGGAGTACACATCACTGACATTGAACAGCGTATTTCAGCAATAGCAATAAAGATGAACACAAGCCAAGTATTTGCAACACCAAAAACTGCCATTCGAGACAAAGAATGTGTTAAACAAGACAATAATATTCCAGTTAAATCCAACTAGCGAGCCTCAACTGCGATTTATGTACAAGGATTTATTTCAGGACCTCAATAATAATAAGCCAGAATTATCAATTCGAGCCCTCTCAGGCAAAATCAATCTCTGTTCAAATCAAGGTTATGGATTTGCAAAGCGTTTAATAAACATACCCCGCACAACATCAGGACTTTCTTGTCACCACCTTGAACAGTAGCGCTGAGAGCCGCCAATGTCTGCTTTAAGAATTCAGGATGACCTGGCCAGGCTGCACCGGTTACAAGTTTGCCATCTGTGAAACAGGCTGAGATGGGACTTGGATCTTTCCATATACCACCTGTGCAAATTTACCAATCGAATGCCCTTCAGTATCAATGAGGGAAGTTAATGAACTGATTGTACACGTCGAATAGATACAACACACTTTTAGAGCAGGAAAACACAATGTCCAGTGCACAGGGTGATACCATTCAGCACATATGTGTAAATAACAGCTTCTGAATCAGGCGCCTGTAATATAACAGTATAATCCTCGACGATTTGGAACGAATCAAGTAAACTCGACCACAAACAGAATTGGGGCGAAGGGTCTCTTATTTCAACCTGCAGCAACCACGACCGGCTTCACGGCTGGATACGCCGTACACTGCTTGTCCTTCAAAACGCCAGCAGCTGCAAGAATAAGCTGGCCATGACAAATAGAAGCAATTGGTTTGTGTGCGCTTTCGAACTTCTTCACCAGGTTTAGGACATTTTCATCAAGAGAGAGGTACTCTGGCGCACGTCCTCCTGGCACCACCAACGCATCGTAGCTATCAGCATCGACATCTTCGAAGTTTGCTGTCAATGCAAAATTGTGGCCCTTGCTCTCAGAGTAGGTCTGCACAGAACCACACCATTTTCTGCTCAGGATAAAGGTTCTAGTTGAAGAAATGACGAGTTGGACATTGGAAGCCTCTCACTATAAGTTCCATTGCCATCAGGGCAGAAAATCAACAGAGCTATCTAACGTTCACGAAATTCAATAGGGATCGAGCGCAAACCACATACCTGGTGTCCAAGAAAATCATGGATGGCGGTGGCACACGTTTCACCAGCCTTCTTTCCTGGACAGACCGCATCGACCTTCAATCCATACGCCAGAAGGGCTTGGAATGGGACCATTACCTGCATTCACATCACGCGTGGCACATTCAGAACATCCAAACGTTTGACATCAAGAAGCGAATTGGACACTCTTCTGTAGGTGAGGAATTGCTCTGAAGATCGATCCATGACGAAAACATTGCAACAACTCCGCAACGAAGTCGCCGTTGAATCTCGCAATTGTAAAATATAAACCGGGCCTGCTTCAGCCAGCAAACTAAATCCAGAGCATGCGAATCATGAAAAAATTGATTCGACAGCGCACGGGCTCGTTGCGGAGCAGTTTCAGGACAGTGATAATCAAGATCGGGAACTGAAGATAACGACATAGGCCTCAATTTCGATTCGCGTGTTACAGAAAGCAGCTCGATAATTCCAATTCCGAGAATCGCTAAAAATGAATAACGCGGGCTTCAAAAATGAAGCAGATCTCCAAGTGAAAATTATCGTAAGACGACGTGAAGCCACAGCAAAAATCTCCGAAACCCACATTAAACGCTGTTACAACTCTTAAACATATCACGTCAAGCATTACAACACAAACCACTGTTGTTCGAAACATGAGTATCACCCCTTACGCTCATTCTGGTAAAACCCACAACCGCATGGAGCGAAAATGAGACAGAGTAGGCCATTGGCCGCGCCGCACCTCGTAATCCTCCACATAGTCGCCAATGATCATGAGCACTGCCTTGCATTTAGCCATGGCTGGAAGGCGCTCTACCGAATCTAGAACCCTGGGGTCACCGCAACGGCACTGAAACTAAATGTCACCCTATCCGCCCGTTCTCCGTGAACCAGATTACACTTCTGTCCGATTCGAGTTAGGCTTCCGATCCAACACATTGCAAGGATCGCCTCCTCAAATAACCCGTACCCAGTCTGAGCTTCCGGTGCTTAATTCGACAGTTCAGTGCACGACCGAGAAGGGGAGGGTCTATGATTTTCCTCAGATAGTTCTAGAACGAGTGGCCAAGTTCGGACGAAATTAGCTTCCTTGGCACATGCTAACAACGGATATACGATGGAATCACGTGAGGGACACCATGAAGCCGGAGTGTAGAACATTCTTATTTATAGATTTGTTTATTTGACAACGGCCTATCCTGATTCAATCGTCTGGGAGAAAGTCTTCACTACTTCAGGTGAGGTCAAATTTCTCTGCGGTAAGTGAGTATTACATTACTGCACCCTCTAAGAGTACTCTCTGTAGAATACCGAGAAACTGGTAGATGGAATTTTGATGACTGGTAATCATGTTTTGTCGAGCTTGGTAACAGTTCCCTGTCACTGCGACCTTCATTGAAGTGCATGTACACCTTAATTATAGTCAAATCAGTATGTTATCGGTGAATGGTGAAGTTGATGAAATATAGATCCTCAGACTTTACCAGTATGTGTATTGTGCTCAATCACATCATTGACATGATTCAATTCGATGTAAGGTATTAGAGTGTAATGGCGGAAGCTATTGACAGTTGCGAATTGGAACTGCACTTCATTGTTTATTTACTTATTTCAAACAGGGAATTATATCAGTACGTATTTCAAGAATTCACGTGTCCATTCGGAATGTGATTACAACAGTTGTAAACAGGAGAGTAAGTAGTCCAAATGTGGAGCAAAATCGCAGAAGCAGTTCGGTTTCTCTCCATCATGGACTATTATGATGGGTGCCCAGGCACTCATGGGCTGTCATGACTGGGTTCCCTACACATTCGCGACACTTCATTGGTGGTGTTGACTAGAAATGGTATGGGGCATTTGAAAAGGGCAGGTTCGTGGCATTAAAACAAATCAAGGGGACGCAGATTCGATTCGGGGACCACCCATAAATCTCACAACAAGCAAATATCGCCAGCACGTACACCACAGTTGATGATAAAAGTTTCAAAAATGTAGCCATAGCAGATTATACTGCAAAGCTTGGTACAACAGGCTCTCTTATATTCCACGCATCATATATAATATAGCAGCGACGCTCCCACTATCACCCGAAGTTATTCTCGTCTCTGCAAAATTGAAAATACAGTTAAGTGAAACAGCCAGATTTAATGCGCCAACAAAGGCCTAAATTGTTTATTTTTACGTGATAGAGAAAAGAGAAAAAAAACCCGAAATTGAAGTACTTACATATCTTGTTGAAGGCAACAATGTCACAAGACTGAATGTACTCGTTGTTGGGCTCGGAGGTCAGATGGTCCTCAATCAGGTTGTCGATACTGACGAGGTCATCGACAATGGTCATCATGATTTGAAGCTTCTTGATTCCAGCAACCACGGTCACAAGCTTGGCTGCATCGAGCAAAATCATGCATGAGTGCATGCTCATTGACATAAACTACAATTTTAGAGTCAAAAGCGTACGATACACTGTACTGGAAATATCTTCAGACAGCCCAGGTGACCCGTAACCGTAAAAATCACTTACAGGCACCCCAAAGCAGACCCTCCATTTGGACAGATCGAACACACTCCTCCAACTTCACCATGTCAGTCTCATCGTCCCATGGCTTGACGTCCATGACAATAGACGACTTTCCAACTGCGTGCAATCAGGCAATACGAGTTAGAGAGACACACAACAGCTCTCCAAACAAATGCCAACAGGAAAATTTGATGACACTGAATACTTTCATGACTTTTCTGACTCACCAACTTTGGGCTTCTCGGACTTGGCCTTCTTGGCGGCCTCCTCACGGGCGGCGTTGGCAGCGGCCTCCTCCTCGGTCTCATCACCGAACAAGTCAAGGTCATCATCATCCTCTCCCTCGGCGGCGGGGGTGGCAGCCTCGGCGGCAGGTGCAGATTCAGCTGGGGCAGCTTCCTTCTTAACGGCGGAAGGGGCAGCGCCGCTTGAAATTTGGATTCCAGCGCCGGGGGCGGAAAATCTAACAATTAACACATACACAGTTCAGGTAAGAGATACAAATTCGTACAATTCCGGTATCAGCCATCACATTAGCAGATCTCCATTGACGTAGAACGATAACCTAGATTTACGGACTCTAGATGTTGCTCCAAATTCCTCAAATCCAAGACTACACAAGAAATCACCTCGTCAAGGGGTTTAAGATACGTACGAGGGTCCGACCAACGCTGAGATGTGCTTGTACCATCTGGAGGCATTCACATACTCCGCGGGCACGCTCTCCAAGGCAACGTAGACGGCAAGGTCATCCCGAGAAGCTTGGTACCTGAGCGTTCACACAAATCAAACAAAAAATAAGAATCTTCTTCAGACCCCCTAAACCCTTACAAAGCGACCAGACAGCACCCATACAAAACACAAAAAGAGAAGTAAGAGTAAGAAAGATACAACAAAGGATTCAACTAGAATGGCGACGGAGTACTCACCCAGAGATGTAACTGCGGGTGGCGAGGTACTCATCAAGCTTCTTCAAGCCATCAGAGCCGGAGAAGTCGAACGACGCACCCATGTTGATTGCGGGGCTCCGGAGCGACAGCGACAACGGATAGGGAAGCGATGAGGAGAGGAAGACAGTGAAAGGGAGGCGGTAGAATGCGAAGGCTGCGAGCGAGGCGGCTCCTCTTGTTGAGTGAGAGGTGTGTGCCCGCTAGGGTTTCCCCCCTCGCAAGGCCAGATTCACACCGCCGCACTTTGGTGAGGTCCCTGAACTCAGAGCCCTCTTTGCATGAAAAGTATATGCCGGCTGTGGATGAATGCCGCTATTGTAAAATGAATTCATTCTTCTGGCTTTCAGTGGAGCTCTTGCGGTTGTGGGGACGACGCCCTGGCCAAATATATCTGTATTATAATTAGCATATCTTTGTTTTATCTTTGGGAAATCTACTAGTAATTCTAAAAGCACTATTTTTCCTGATGCGCGCTTTCTGAAAGTATTGGGTGTGCACAGAAGTGCACGGTTTGTTTTAGACATTGAGGAAATGCAATAAACCTTCATGTCATGTTTCCGTGCTAACCATGAGAAACTTTGCGAGGAACCCTTTACTGGATGTAATAGAGAGTGCTTCACTACGAATTATTTATTACTCCACAAATTGCAATGGACCTGATTCATTTCTAAGTTCTGCCTTCTGACTACTGCATATACAGCCAGACTTCTTTCAAAAAAGTAATTACGCAACCGTGGATTTTTGTTGTACAAGGTAATTTATAGAGAGAAATCCTCTTGAACAAACCAAGGGTAAGCTGAATATGAGTAACCTTGAACAATGCTCAACGAACTTGCTTATAGGTTTTAATGTTGAAAATCACAAAAAATATAATTTGCAAGTTTCATTTGTCATGTACAAATCCCGTTTCCGTGACATGTTCACACATCACAACCGCTTGCGATTACACGCTAATGCTGAACTTTGTGACATAATCCTGGACTCTACAAGAACGGAGGAAATAATGAAGAAAAGCAAGGTCTCCTGTCACAGGTTAGATGTGTACTACTTGATAACAAAAGATTCCATTTACTCTGGAAGTTGCAACCTCTTGAACGCCTGCCTCTATAATTTCTTGTTTCTGAAACAGTTTTCACAGATCTGATCCTTGCACTTGTAATCTTAGGATTGTAATGCCTTGCGAGGAGAGAGAACAAATTCACTTGTATGGTACATTTGCGCATATAGCTATTGTTGAATAATGTTCTCCTTGGAGTCTCTGACAACTATTGTTTCTAGCTCCATCTCTGGGATTCCACTTTGCTGCAAAGATTGAACATCCAGCTACGTTGAATAATATTACAGAGTCAAGAACCAGAAAACTTGCAAAAAGCATCAGGTGCTCTGCCATGAGAGAAATTTCTTGTCAATCAAGTAGAAAATAATGGTTTTTGCAGATGAAAGGTTTACAAATCTCAGAGGAACAACACCATGTACTCACAAATAACGATGGGGCATAGTATGCAACTTGCCTTGTATTTGTGTTGTGTAGTATTGCTGACACCCAAAAGGCCCTGACTTTCCTGTGTGGAATTACTGGCGGACGTAACCGCTGCCTCATTCAGCTTCTGTGCATTATACAGATAAACGCCAAATATCGCTGCTCATGTGCAGAAAAAAATTCCAACTTTTGTCAGCCGCAAATCCTCCTCTAAGTACCACAAACTGATGTAGATATGACAAATATATAATTCGAAAGTTCTCTGAATAGATATCACAACAAAGATGATATACTACAACATAGACATGAGCTGGTAATCGACAACAACCAAGAGTCACCTACCAATCACATATCCAAAGATATTGATGACTGTGAGTTTTGCATCTGCAAACAGGTATACCGAGACGAGCACTACCACCCAGTCCTTGATTACTCCGGCAACTCGTATGGTGAGGGCACTGGTGTGAGAAATCACTAAAAATACAGACACGTTTAAAGCAAACGTGCATAAGGCGTTAAGAGTCATAATGACTGGATCGAAGTGCCATTGCACTGCTGCATCCATCTTAGGCTTCTCCAAGATTAACCACGGCACAAAGAGGCAAAGGGCACTGCAATCAAATATCCATTAGGTGTCAAGTGTGAGCACAACAGACACATGAAAACTGAGACTGAGAAACCAAGCGTGGTATTGAATGGCTATTTAACTGAAAAATCGACTATGTACAGAGTATTTTGTTCTCTTACACTAAGAAATGCACAGGCAAGCATAATGACCAACCTGCAAGGGCTCACGTAATACATCATAATTATGGGGTCTAACTTCAGTCCTTTTCGTTTCAGAAGAAGCTCGATAAAAATCAAACGAAATGCCTCCCCAACCACTCCTCCCATCATATACACAACACCGATCCAGTTGAAATTAACTTCTCCGTAGGAAGCGATCGATACGCCAGCACTTATTATCGTCATGGTGCCCATCATTTTCATACTCAGTTCTTCTAACCCGAATGATGCCCCAAGAAGAAATACAGCAACAGGCACTGCACAGAATCAGGTTCTTTCATAAGTACATGAATCCTCAATAACGAAAACTACATGAATTGTTTTGTGCCAGCATGCACCTAATGAAGGATTGACTTACTGATTGCCTTCAGCATCTGAGCAAACGACACGGAGATATACAAATAGGAAGTGTTGCCAAGCCATAACGTCAGAGCAAATGTTGCTCCAATAGGAAGTACAGAAGATATGTAACTGTTGATCCAGCAAACCCCCCATCCCCCCCTCCCGGTACCAGTAACCACTGTTAAACCCAATACAAAAGCAAGACGTAAAACCTGTCAAGATAATTCCACTAGCCTAACTCTAATTCAACTTCTTGAATTTGTACACACCAAAGAGATGCAGATTAGAATACAAGAACTTGACATCAGGTATATTCCATGTGCTTCTCCTTGTTATGTAATACCGAGTTATTACATCGATAGAAACTTTGCTAAGTCATCAAGGCTAGCCATTCCAATATCCTAGAGTTCAGTATGGTGTATTTCCATGCTTTTATGTACAACTGTTGTTGAAAGATGAACCACAAGCACAGTAGGCAAGATACCTTCAAAACTTGGAAAACAATTGTAGGGATCAGCATGGCTCACATGTCATACGTCATGCCCTCCTTCAGCTTCACCCACTGGTGCCATGTCACACCACTCAATTCCGTCAGCTACTGATCCTATCCCTCTCACATCCACATGCTCACTGCAGTCAAAAAAACGCTACATTCAATCTAGCTGATGAATACCGTTAATGATCACATCAACGAAGCCAAGATAGTACTCATTTAGAAGCATCCAGAAGAAACCATCGTAACCCGCCACCTGATTAAGGAGACCTCGTATGTTGTATTAATGCCAGAAGTTGAGTAGTAGCCTATACCTCGAATACTCTGACCACCAGAAAGCATAGTACTGTTGAAAAGACCATGTGCAGGAGCGTAAGGCCAACGGGGTAAGGGAAATTGAATTTGCTGTCCGACAGCACCCACTACAATCCCACAAAATGTTATGAAAATAAAGTACATACAAGGTTCGCTCCCTATGGTCTAGCAAATGGCAATTAGTGATGAATTCAAGTAATTCACGCGCATCAGTGCAATCCCTCCACACTTAAAGTAAATACGCATTAATTCCGAATGGTAAGACAGAGCAATCCCCTTCATAATCTCTTGTTGACCATGCGTAACAAAATCCCTGCGGATTTAAAGTTCTCAGGTACACTCAGTGATCACTGGAAGCATCTTGGCACCACTAGTTAACCTTTCAGTGCAGAAGCGCAAGATGTGTGTGTCAAATTAGAGGTGTGACCCAATCCTACGCATGCCCCAATTCACAGACAACAGAGGAGATTACAACAGACCTAAAATCGCGTTATTCTGACGACATTCAGCTCACGAATTCAAGAAAGTCCATTTCTCTCAAGGTCCAGCACACTCAAAGCATACAAATCACTCGCATAAAAATTCAAAACAAAAATCGCCGCGAATTACCAAAAACACTTCTGAAGCAGACTATGTGATCAATAACAGCTCCGCTTCTACAACACACGACAACTCAACGCACGACTAACGTCCCCACTTACAAAACCACCCCAGAGTTGAGCACAATTGACCAAGTCACAGCGCTGGACTGCAAAACCCCACTCCCCCACTAACCCAAAAAAACCAAACCCTAAAGAAAAGAAATAAACACAACTAGAATTAGACCCACCTTGTTGAAGAAGATTTGGCCACTAGAGAGTAGAATGTAGACGATCAAATAAGCATACGTGAGCAGCAGTCGCTTCTTCGCTGAGGCAGCCATCGCTGCGGCGTTTTCTCCAGGCGCAATCTCGTCCTCGTGGTCCTCGCACTTCGCACTGATCCCTCCCAACACCAACAACACTGCAAAATCTCCGCAGCTAAGTGAATCAAAGGTGCCGATGATGATGATCCACAACAGCGTGGGATCCACGAGTTTGGCAATGCCCCGCAGTCTCTTCTCAGTCCTCCTCCGCGACTATTGTGCTGTTGTGCTCTGTGTGCATCATGTCCGCGTTCGACATGACCACGTCTGTGGCACGACCCCCATGTGAATAGAGTCTCCAGCCCCCATTGGACTCCCGTGTGAACATAGTCATCGACTCGATCAGGACTATAGTGTGAACAGGGTCTTCGGTGCTAGTGGGGCCACTCGCTCTTTGTTGGTTACTGAGATTCTTACTAGTTCCTGGAAATAGTGACTCGGGGGAATTATGGGGTCGTGTGATTGCTACAGTCTTTTTTTCTCATTGTGTTGTTTGTTTATTTATATAGAAAATACGATCTGGAGTGGTTACTACTTGTTGGCTTTTGAGTTGCATTTATTTTATTTTATTTTTAGATTTTGAGGGCTTAATTGTAGATCGTGTTTTAAATTAATGGATCACAGAACGTTGCTAATAAAATGTGTCTTCGAAGCCCCATTAACACATTGTTTGCAAACTGGAATAAAAAAAAAATTAAGTATGTGAAAAATGATTGCACGTTTAAAAATTACAAACTATACACATCCCTCTTAATAAATATATATATATATATATATATAGGGAAATTATAAAGCGACCCAACTTTTTACTAAAACAATCTACCCTAGATGAAGAATCATTACACTTTCATCCCTACTTCCATATTGTGCTCGTTACCACATTCTCGGCCTCCATCCATGTTCTCAACCCCTCTCCCTTGTCTTGATCAGTTATAAAAGCATAGGATCAAACACCTCAAGAGATACTTTTGTATTGCAATTGCTTGTTGTAGCACATAAAGCAACAATTTGCCTTCCTCAACCCAAGTCATTCAATTGTTCCTCTCCACATCCCTCTACAATGTCAAGATCTACAATGCTGAAAAAGCCATCACTGATTTAGATTATGTACTTGGAACCAAGTAACCACTGGTAGTGGCGATGATTGAAGTGATATGCGCAATTTTGTTATTACTCAAAGTCTTTGCAATGCCAAAATCAATTATCCTTTCTTCCATAATGGTATTGAACATGATGTTACTCGGCTTCAAATCTCCATAAAGAGTGGAGGTCAGACAATCATAGTGAAGATATTTCAATCCATTAGTGACATCGATAGCCGTATTGATTCGATGAGTCTAATTAAATTCTTTTATCACTTCAGCATCCTTCAATGGATACATCAAGTTGCTAAGTGTTCTATTGGCATATATTCCATTACTAGTCCCTTTATGTTGGAACTACAATAGTAATCCATTACTTTGACAAAAGATCAATGTCAAATATAGCATAGAATTTTGAATCTGTCTGCTAGGACTACACACATTCTCAGTCATTCCATTCCACCAAATTGTTAATCTCTTCATTGCCATTATAGTGCCATCCAAAAATTGTCCTTTGTACATAGTACTCATGCTACCAATATTGATGTAATTTTGCTCACTAAAATTTTGTGTAATTTATGTGACATCCTCTAAAGAGAGATTCAACTCAACCTTTGCAAAAACAACTACTAAGCATTTGCTGCTCTTTGTGTTTCATATGCATCTGGAACAACCCAGATCAATCATGTTCAATGATCAAGTCGAGGGCAAGGAAGATGTATGGCATGTGGGGAAGTGATGGGATGGAGCAAGGTAAGAAGCAAGGGGTATAGAAGAGAGGAGGTGTGAAGGAAATGATGGAGGAGACAATGTGGAAGGATTCACAATGGAGGGGATGTCATAGTGCATGCAAAAGTTAAATACGTTGGAATGGACATTGAGTTATGATGTTGGAGTAAGAGAAGTAAGACAAGCATTGTTCCATGAGTTTTCTCTTTGTAATGTTGGAGAGCCATTATAAGCTAAGGATCTTAGAAGTATATTGAATCATAGTTGGAAAAACAAGAGTTGAAAACGTGGACGGAGGTTGGGAATGTGGGAACAAGAGAAATAACAACAATGGTGGAATGATTCTTTATCCAAGGTGGATCAATTTAATAAAAATTAGGGTCACCTTAATATTTTTCCATATATATATATATATATATATATACACATATATCAAATTGTTAAAGTTATGTATGCATATTATAATTCATTTGAACTTGAAATTCAAATCACAACCATAAAGTATGTGTATATTTTTAAATTTGCATTATTTTATTTCTTTAAAAGTAGATTCTTTTAAAATAACAATCTACAAAAACAACTAAAAGATATCTTCAAAAATCTCATGAAGTACAACTTACAAAAAATTTAAACGCACTAAGCCATTCATAGTGAAGAATATATTTTGGATTGCAAAATATTTCCTGACATAGGTATATCTATAGGAAAGGATCTTAATCCACATTGAGATGGCTCTAAACAAGATTGAGGATATGTTCCCGATCCACTTGTCAATTGGGTTTGCCATCTGGGACTCCGAAAGGCTACTTTCGGAGTCCCAGATGTTAAGATTCAACATGATTCAATCTTGTCACACTGCAACTTTATAATAATAAGTGTCAAAAAAATGGCATGTTCACTTTGGTGAGACCCAGTGTGGACATGCATTCAAGAATATATAACCTACAAGAAAAAGTGTCATTCTGCAAGCATACACACACACACACACACATATATATATATATATAAATATATATATACATGTATGTATATATAGACCGTGTTCGCATATCTCAAAATATTAATCATTTAAAAAAAAGAAATCTGGAAACATGACTCCTGAACAATATATGCTGTCTACAATTAGCACACAGCTACAACTTGGTTCTGAGCATGTTCACAACGATGCACGTGTTGGCTCTTATTAAGTTCATGTATGACAACTACACTTGATGACATGAACGCTGTTCAAACTTATTGACAAGTCTGTGTGAGCAAGGGATTTCTGCTTGAAATGTCTGTAAGACGGCAAGGAGCACTGCCGAGCTCACGTCGGTTGAAAAAGAATCTTCGCATCACGAAACATATAAATGTCCAAATGCACAAATACTCATGGGAAGGAATCCATTCATAGACCTAAAATTTGCACATTGATAAACATCCTAGCCACGCAAAATACTCAAAAGCACATTACGTTTTTGACCAGCTTCTCACAAAAGCTTGAGAAAAAGAAATGCTATTTAGAAAGTGAGGAGTCAGGAGCTTACTTCCTGAGAAGCTTCTTCAGAAGTTCAGCATGAGGGAAAGTATCCTTATCAACATAATATAGATTGCCATTGGCTTCAAATGTGACTGCAGGGCGTTGTGTCTCAGGAGTTCTAACGTCTGATATGTTCACAGTACGCTGCAACGGGGTGGCCATCCAGGAAAGGACTTCTATCTGCATTTGATCCGTTCCTGGAGTCCACGTGAGCTTCCGCACATAAGGGCTGGCAAACCAGTGCAGGGCACCTGTCGTGGATGCACTAAGTAGGACCACAAGGGATGCTAATCCTCCCTTTGCTATCACTGATAACTCCGGGGATGTGAAAAAAGTCACGAATGGCCCACCTGTATACACGATAGAATGATTGGGTTAACATAAGCAACAACCAGCAGACAAAAATCAACCTTAATATTCCTGGAAGCACCACAAGCAAGAAACTCATGAAAGAAACACAACGAAGACCACACAAGGGTACCTTGAAAAATGACATGATGTTAATCCAATAACTAAGAGGAAGTATGTACCGACGACTGAACAACAGCACGTGGTCAGGGAGAGAAGTTTGACACGCCGAAGTGTATCAGCCATTACACCTTCGTAGACCACTGGCGCAGGTTTCTCGATGGGCTTCTCCTCCTCAGCATGAGCAGGTCGATTCAGTCCCTTGTAATTGGGTGATATTTGAGTAGCCCATCGTTGTTGCCCCAGAGCATTTGGAATATGACGTGAGGGATAGATCGTAGCTCTGCTGCATGCTTGCTTCCAGCCTACGACATGCAAAGTATCAGACTAACTTGTGATAAGATTCTAACTTAGAAAATCTGAGCGACTTCTACTAACCACTGATGACTGGCTATCGTTAAAGAAATGAGTAACTCCAGAAGAATTGCAAAATGGATACGACATTCCCAATTTAATGAGATGAGAGGACACTAGTAACTCCAACAGCCGTAGTGGCTCAAATACGAAGTGGAAGCAATAAAGCGTCTGAACAACCTAAAATCGTCAAATGTCGCGAAAGTCTGGTTCCTGAATAGAACAGTGGCGGTGCCTTTCAACGTAACGCTTTCGAACTAAGAAACTAGCATCACGATGTTCCCCAACAATCTAAACCTTGTGACTCGAACAATGACAAAGCACATCATGTCATAGAGTGTGACTCAACCTTCGCCTGTGGATCGAGAGAACACAAGCAGAACCCAGAGCTTCTATCAAACTCGTCAAACCCCTACACACTTGACAAGTTTCGACAACGTGGGCGCAAAATTGCTAACACTGAGCACAAGAGGAACAAATCTCTGTCGAAGTTCAGCACCACATTCTTTTAGTCCGATTCCATGCTGTAGAATTCAACAATCCAGCGACCCACTCAAACAAGGCAAGGCGATCCACAAATTCACTTGACATGCATACAACCAAGAAAGAGGTGAAGGCGATTTACCTGCTCTAAGCAGAGCAGCACCCACCATAGCCGATCTTAGGACGATGTCTCCTTCCTCCTTCTGCTTCTTCTTCTTGTGCTGTCTGTGAGCCAGGAAGTCAAGTTAGGGCTTTGCCCTTCGAAGGGTTTTAGGTTACCCAAGCACAAGCAGAGCCAACACCCAACTCTCCAAGACACAGCACAGCAAAGCAAGGTTTACAAAAACCAATCACAAACTCACTCTCTCTCTCACTCTCTTTAAGAATATAAATATACATGTATATGTATATATATATATTATTGTGTGTGGGTGTGTGTTTGGCTGGACTGCTCCTCATTGCTAAGCGGCAATTGCAAGAGGCGATTGCCACGGCGTTCAGAACCTCTCACCGAATAAAACCCAGTGTGAAAGGGGGAATAAATGAATACTGGTGGATGAATGCTTGGATGGAGTGTAAGGATTATAATTGATAAAATCAGAAGTTATGTGGCGTGCATGATTACCTATGTTCAAATTGGATTGCCCAAATTCTTTAAAATCACACCATTCATGTGATAAAGCAATAGATCAATACTCTTAGAATAAACCTGTATATACAAATATATATATATATATATATATATATATATATGAGAAACATCAATTGATATGTTTCAAAAATACATAAAATCCCAGTTTAAACCAATTCAAAATATTTTAATTTTTTTGATAGTTTGAAATTTCATTAACAATAAAACGATTCACAATACATTGATTTATTTTTATTTTTATAAATTTTAAATTTAAGTAATGTAACAATATTGATATCAAAGAATTAAATTGGATGAATTCATTAAATTGTTTATATGTAATTATTTACTAAAAAATACATTTGTTAAAAGTATTTTTGTATTTGCATTGTTTAAGAATAAAATTTAGGACCAACATAACTCAATAAACATCAACAATTCTCATGACTAAGTTAATCCAATCTTATCTAGTATCAAGGGCATGAATCTAAACCAACTTGCAAAAAAGAAATATATTCATGTACAAGTAAGAAATAGAATTAAGAATTAAAAATATGTAATAGCTATGGCTAAGTAGAAAAGTACATAAAAATATGTATATCGAGTATTTTTGGCTAAGTACAAAAAAACTTGATAGACTTAAACCAAAATTAAAAGACAACAAATGCATTCACAAGATTGAAGCAATTGTACAAATTATCAATATTAATAAAAGTTAACTTTTATACTTTGCATTATAAATAAAACATATTAACAAGTATATAAAATATATATAAAATATGTTACAAATATATTTGCTAAATTTAATTATTTTGGTTGAATTCTTTAGAAAAATTTATAGATTTGAAATATTATAAAAAAGCATCTTACAAAACATCAATAAAATGGAGTTGAATTTGGATTGATGGTATCGTTTTTTTGTTTTTGCTTGCTTATTGTTCCTAAATTTATGGTAGGATGTGGACAAAAAGTTGAGGTAGAACCATTCTTCTACTGAGTAATTTTGAATTTTATCTTCTAAACACACTCTAAAAATGCTCTTTATATTATAGAAGTGGTTAAGGCATTGCCATTGTTGTCGCTAATAATGGTGTCAACTAATATGGTTTCAAAACAAGCCTCAAAATGACATATTCAACAACCTCTATGAAGTTGTCATTCACAAAATAGAAAGTTTTTTCGACAACCTCCCATAGAAATTCCTTCCTCATGTCATGGTCGGGGCTTGAAGTAGAATTCTAGAGAGCTACTTTGAGACAAGCAAGCGGCATCTAGCTTGGCTTTTGCCAACCATAAGACTAGATAGTCCTACAATTTGTCATACAAGAAGGAAAAAATTTAACAAGAAAGGGCTTCTTGGAAGGAGAGAAGGGGATTGGAAGTGGGATCCTTTGAAATCCCTTGTATGATAGATAAATGGTGCAAGGCGTGGTTTGTGCCATCAGCCTCGCCCTATGGCTAGAGACCGTCTTGTGCCCACATTGGTGTAGGTACTATAAGCCCCATAACATCCATTCCTTGGCCATCTCCATTGGCGCCAACAAGTGGAGATACTTTTACTCTTAGGATATTATTGCTTTAATTACTGTCATTCTTTGATTACATTTTCTTATGCTACGTTTGTTATTTTTGGAGTACTTTCATCACCTTTTGATTGTAGGCCACCAAATTCAATAGAAACGGTAAGAAATTTTCAATCTTATCTAAAATATTCATTTGAACAAACATGTATTTTAAATTTTCATCTTTTCTTATACTTGGCTTTGGTGTAGATCATTTATAGCCTTATCTATTTTATCCTTTTGTAATTCACAATAAAAATATTATCTTTGTATCATTTCACAAACAATAATTGGATTTAGAAGCAAATATTTGTTTAAAAAACCCACAACATTTTAGACTTTACAAAAAGACTTTAACAGTAAAATTTATAGTAGGCACATATATCTATTTTTCTTTTTGCTAGCTCATATATAAATATAAATATATATAAATAAATAAATATATATAGTATAAATAATAAACAAAAGAAAGCAATAGGATTGTTCTGTGCAAGTTATTGTGTGGTCAATTAAAAAAAATATCTCATTGATTTTTATCCATTATTCTTCTGGATACACAAAGATTAGATAAAACAAAAATGTTACATGGAGAATTAAATTTTTATTAAGCACCAATAATATCTGGATAGAAGAAAATAACTGCTGATGTAAAAAAAGACCTCTAAACTTGAATCTCATACAAAAATTCTACATATGGATTGTTTTTTCACATGATAATATTTGCATGTACATTTCAAAACTTTGAAGAAGAAAGAATGTAATAGAAATCATAGTATTTGTTGTACACATTACCTTTGCCATAAACAATATCCAAGATTTGAACCATGGTGTTGACAAAGTTTTATAAACAAACCCCCAAATTGGCTCTGTGATGAAATGCCACCTAATAAATTATTAGTTGTGCAGGGGCCTAATCCTGATATCACCAATTAAAATTAAGGTTAGAAGCAATGAGCACTCAATGGATAGGGGTCAAAAGTCTCAACATTGGGCTATGAAACACCAAATCATACAAACAAGTGGAATTGTTGTTTTTAGAACTTGTCCAAACTCTTCATGTGGATAAATATTAAATTTCACAATTTTTATCCTCCTCAATCTCTAGTGTGTGCAGAAATTGACAGTGAACAATGGAAGCGAGTGAGAAAACCATTCTCCATATCTTTGCTTTTATATTTTTCAGCAACATGTGTGCTATATTGTTTTGAACAAAAGTACTTCTTCTCACCTTTTCACTTTTTCACTTGCCTTTCTCAGCGTTACTTTATCCAAGAATTTCCCACTAGCCCGGATTCTTGACTTGGATGAATGTAAAAAGACGAAAACTAATTCATCCATATTGTCTTCAGGGACGCCGTGTGCGAGTGAAAAGGGGGGCAGCTTTCGGCGGCGGACAAAACGACGAACAACCATCGAAGCTGGACCACAGCGGTCCCGCTGTAGGTGGTGGGCCCACTGATCGCGACGAACGAGCACTGCTGACATGGATGACAAGCTTTGCAAGGGGAAGAATGCGAGTAGGCAAAGAAGTAGGGGAATGCGAGATCGGAGCTCTGTCAAGCAGGAACAATTCGCCGAACTGCTGAGTGGCCAGGAGAGACTGAGACTGGCCGAGAGATTGCGAGAGTGAGAGAAAATTCCTGTGACCATGGCATCCGCTGCGAAGGTCGCTAAGCGCATTCCCCTCATTAAATTTCCCTCTCGGAAAGCGGCACAAGCCTCAGCCTCACATCCGGGTATATGCTCTTTCTCCCTCGTTTTTGAAGTCGCTTGTTCATTTTAGGTCAAGGTTTGTGCAATGATGTCGCGCGATCAGTGACACCACTGATACTACTCTGTTTTGGAGGGTGTCGAAGGTTTGTTGAGGTTGTTGGGTTTGTTACGGTCTTGTCTTGTGGGCACGTTACTTTGGGAGCGTGAGGCTTCCTTTCAGTCACTATTCCGAATCGATACCATTTCTCCGGTCGGAATGAGAGTAGGATGTGTCCCTTGAGTGTGCTCGCGTCGAACAATAGGACGCAGAGATGCAGGATAGGGGTTCCTTTTGCTACTTCAAATGTTTCACTCACACGAATGAGTCTTGATTGAGGATGGCTACATGAATGAGGCGTTTTTTTTCCAGAATTCGAAAGAAAGCTTTTGCGGAGGAGATGTTGTGGAGGCTCAGGGTGCATTTAGGGTTTAAGTACTGGACTATAACAATCGTGTTGGTAGCAACGGTTCAGCTCTTGCGCGTTGCCGCTATGTTATATCCTGAATATAAAATGTCAATAATGGGGTTTCGATCAGTATGTAAGTTCAGAAAATCGGTGAAGCGTCTTCGGTGACATAGAAGCCTAGCTTTGAAGTTACTGGTGTCATTTAAACAGAACTATGTGTAGCTGAGGTATTGAGCTTTGATATAAATGCTTATCTATGGTGTGTGAATCATATTTTTCCTGCTGTGCGGCAGAGTGCCTTCATATGAGTGCTTATGATTTCATGTTCATATTGAGGAATATGGTTAGTTTAGGCTCACAAGGATAGAATGTACTGTGTAGTTGACAAGCGTGGTCGCTACTGATAAGAACAAGTACAGTCTAGCCTCATCTACAAGAGGAACACGAGAAATGTGGTTATGAATCTTCAATTTAACTCCGAAATGCCCTTATAGTCCTACATGGTTGTGATGCTTAACTCGTGCTGACCTTCGACACTTCATACACTCCTTCAAACCACAGACCACCTTAGGTCGCCAGTGAACGATTTAGTAATGGCAGAATTATCAGGCTCACAATAACTTGATCACAGAACTGGAGGTTTGGGGTACTCGATAAGTTAGGGTTTGTACTAGTGTTCTGTTCAATTTCGCAGATTCAGGGTTGCGTGATAACTATGTTTCTTCATGGACAACTCTCGTCCTGAATGTTCCATGCTGAGCAGACTGTGAGTTTCTGTTTGATGTAAAATTCCAGTGTCCATGGGAGACGTGTTTCGGGCATTGTTGGTCTGAATTGTATGTTGGCTACAGAAATTCTCCTAGAGAAATAGTTGCATCATTTGGCAGTATACACAAAAGTGTACTTAACACTTAGAGTTTGTAGTAAAGTATCCAAGTAACCTTATCAAATATGGAGGGTTGCAGTAAGCCGGGAATCGGGTGAAGGGAGCGTTCAGACTCCGCCTTCTATGACGTCTGGCACAGCTTCGAGTCAACCTCACCGGACAAAATTGACAGACAGAGAGATTGAGGCCATTTTGGTTTGTATTCATTACTCTAATTCTGTTTTCAAATACTACACTTTCTTTTGCAGATTTCACTCTCTTATTTGTCCGCCCCAGTAGCTTATTGTATTTACGGATTGTGTGAATTTTGATGGTCACTAATTGGTCACCATTTTAAATTCACCATTTATTTCACTCTTTGAAGTTTTCATTTGATTCACTTGTGATGTGTGGTAATTGTTTGTAGCTTGGAGGTGCTGTTCCATGACTTCATGTTAGATGAGTGGTTAGCGATGGAGGATCTTTGAGATACTCAACCATGCGGATGATCAAATGTTGGGGGATTTTATTTTACTAGTTGGCTCCTGGTGCATTCATGGCCCTGAACATGTGCGTAGACTCGTTCTGCAGCACTGCTTAGACCGAATGGAAATAAATGGGTTTTTTATATAAAAAAAATTGTTATTTTTTTTGTCTCAGTGTTTTGTGTTTTGAAAATATTTGGGAAGTGGAAATAGAGAATCTTAGGTACAGTTTACGTCAAAAAAGAGAAGCTGCTACCTTCTAGCAGCATTCTTGAGGTCCGCTACACAGTACAGAGTGTAGAAACAAAGGTCTTTTCTTCACTAAGGTAGGACATCTACACCTAACAGTCGACAGGTGTAAATCTTGACTTTTGTACGTGATACTGGTTATAACATGCTCGATCGTATACATTCGTCATTCTACTTTTGTCGGTTGAGTGTCACAAAACATTTTTTTTGACGTTATGTGTTTGCCTAGTCCTTTTTTCCAGTCACGTTAATGGCAGTTGTGAACTCCATTTGCTTCATTCTAGTGTTCTATGAACCCGGATGCAGTGATAGCGGTGTGTATAATGAAGCATCCGATTCTGTTCTGAAATTGGTAAGTTCTTTGAACAATAGTTTTACATCTTGCGATACGACATTTTGTATTTCTACCAATTGTTTCAGCTTTGAGTTTAGGAAAATTACCAGTGATGACTTGGGGCAGCTCGTCAAAATTGTATGGCAGCACCATCGTATGTAACAAGAAGCTAATTGTATTGTACAAGATTTGTTACATTATAGTGTGCAATTGAATACTTGCAAGCTTAGAAGGGCTTAATGTCTAAAGCCATATCTCAGTCCTCAGATTGAAGACAACCTAAGCGCCTCTTCTAGCCAAATTCTTCTATATTAACATTCCTATCAAAATCGTGATGACTTGTCTTACCCAACGATACTCCAGGGGAAGGGTTCGAGTAATGCCTAATCTACTATTTTAGTAGCTACAAGATCCGGCGCAATGAGAGCTGGCGATTGAAGCAACTCTTTGGAGCTTCTATTGCGACGCCGGTTAGGAGGAGTACTGTAATATTCTATATGGTCAGTTTCTCTCATAGAACCAAGTAGATCACTGCGACGCCGAGAGTTCGCAAGCCTGTCTTTGAATACTATTCCATCCTGTAAAGCTCGAGACAGAGTTCCAGATTAGTGAACTTCATAATCTTGAACACACAAACTAGTTAACTAGTAGAACACTCGTGACCACTAATCAGAGTTCATCCCTCCTTTTAGGGGAATGCCACCGTCAAGCACATGAAAAGTAGGTACTGCACCAAATGAAAGACTATCTAAAGTTACTCAAGGGACAACACCCAGCGTGACCTCGATGAGAACTGATTCACACCCAACGCAGAAACAATTCGATTTGGATGGTTATTCTGAAGTGAGGAAACAGATGGGAAATCGAGGTAAATACTTGGGGCTAAGTGTAAGGAACCCAATATAAAATGAAAGGATTATCAAAGAGACAATTGTGGTACAGGTTCTTACATGGACAATACAAGGTTCCGGAGGAGGACACCGCACAGGTTTGTCGAGATCAGTAGGCTCCATTGGCCGTGGCACAAAAGTGAATTCCGTTGGGTAATCAGCTCCATTCGAGGATGAAAAACTAGAGATGTGATTCACACCATTCACCTTGCTGTCTCCCCCATTTCCCTGACACCATCGTACCAAAGATATCTTGTGAAAAGTGTGATGGGCCGACAGAAAAGAAATCATTCTGACAACGGGATCTTAGCACTAATGCAATACGACTTCACGACAAGATTTGAATCATATAAAGGCTGAATATTCAGTTCGTGGTAGTCCGGTAACGGGATTAGATTAACTAATTAGAGATTATCTAACTCTCTAATTAGATTCATCCAGGACTGCAGCCAGATGATGACCTAGGCGTACGAGAATCTCCTAATGGAGCAAACACTGAAGGACTTTAACTCACATACTAACTTGCAAGACAGCTCCATAGATACTAAGATTCAGACAAATCCTTGTTCATCGTGCTTTACTGAACAAGGACGCCACCACCTATTAAATGTAGGTCCCCACGTTGAGGTAGCATCTCTACCACCGGATTTTCGAAACAACACAGATATACCAGCCACATCCCACCCTCGCCGTACCATCAAGATACCAGACCTCGTATTCACAGGGCCCACATTCAAACTTCACAGTAGCGAAGAGACAACTACCGACGCACCGATCATGCTATCCAAAAAAAACTTAAAGCCAGAATGTGCGTCCAAATCTATCTCTACAATCGTGGGGTTTACCAGGATTTCACCAGGCCGTCTGTACTTAGCGGCATGCTTCAAGATCTTCACAGATCCACTCGCTCGGAATCTGTGACCACGCACGGGCCGATTCAAAAAATCCTTCAACGAGAAACCTCTCATTCTTGTCTGCTATGCTCACGTCACCGCCAAGTGACAAATTCACCTAATCCCATCCCACCTCCCACAATCGCTCGCTCTCTCCTACAACATCTACTCAAAAACCGCCTAGCGCAGCAGATCCTATACTAAGGATCCCGCGGAACCCAAAACCTCCGGACCAAGAACCTCAAAAACAACAGCAGCAGCAACAGCGTCTCTCTCCCTCTCTCATGCACGTCTCAGAATCTGCCCTCGTCCAAACTCCCCACACAACCCGCCAACAGCTTCAACCCCAGAGAGAAGCGGCCCAATGCAGGACTAGGCGGCAAACGACACAACAGAACAGAACATACCATCCACGCACTCTCCATAGCTCACTAAATCGCCGTGACCCAGATCCAGCAACACCCGCGTCGCCCCTCAACCATAGTCCCGTTAACTTATTACCCGTCTTTTACATATAGCAATCAAATCCTGTGTCCCTAATGGCCAGCGGCATCCCAGTCGTGATGGACTCTACCCCACCCGGGTCAGCGCAAGCGAGCAACCAAACAAACGAGCGGGGGAGTGAGGGGAGCGAGCGAACAATTCGTGAGATGGGGGTGGGGGTATTACATACATCCAGATGATGCTCACCCTCCTCCTCAGATAATAGTAGTGCCTCCTCGGCCTGCTGCCTACATTCTAGAACCCGCATCGCACATACGAATCAACACCAGGATGTGCCCACGCATGCAGCCCATTGTCACATGGGGGATGTACCCAATCAGGGTCTCGGAGAGCCAATTATATCGCTGCCCCACAGTTATGAGTTTCTAATCCGGCGCCAGACAAGGTAGCCCCAGGCAGGGCTCTCTTCCCCAGCTCCCCCTCTCTCTTCGCTCCCAGTCCTCCTTTCCGAGTTTCCTGCTGCTCCCCGCAGCCCATGAAGATGCGGGGTACCTACCTTACCCTGCTGCTTCTTCTTCGCGTGGTTCACGATTCTGATGCCCCCGCGCGACCTTTGCATTTTTGCAGACTTTAACCAGTGCCCCGCGGCCTACGCCTCTGCGACGTCGCCCATTTTTAGTTCTCTCATCGGCTCCGAGCCCCCCTCTTCTTCCCTCTTCTTCTTCGTCTTCCCTGCTGCTGCACCCACTCATCCACCCACCCACCATTTTCCTTCCATAGCCGAGGAGCGCATTCTCGCCTTGTCCCCTCCCCTCTCTGCTCGTCGCGCCCGTGCGGCTTACGACTCCCCCCAGACTCGCGGCGTCGTGCGCATTTTGACCACCTGGGCATATATGGGAGTCCACCTCGGATTAATTCCACATGGCACTTCCTGGTTTGTGCGTACACCCTCCCTTTCCAGTTGTGTTTGCTATAACTCTCTCTTCTATTGTATGTCTCCCCTCATGCCATCTAATTCATGTTCTTCTTCAACGTTTAATGTTGGAAACTTTATTTTATTTTATTTTATTATTTTACTTTTTTTCTGGGGTTGGGTTTGAATTTGAAGCTTTTTGCATGGCAGAGAGGTGATATCGTCCTGGTGTGTGTGTTGGTCGTAGTTGATCATGGCACGGAGTTCAAATGGCTGACTTTATTGGTCCATTTTTGCGTTATGTATGCATATATATATATATATATATATGTATTTGGTGGTGGTGGTTGTTGTTGTTGTTGTAGTAGTTTGTTTGTTTTCTTCTTTGGGATGGAATTTTCGAGAGTGTACTCTTTCTGACCGGTTCTTGTCTGGAATGTGCTCTTGCCTCGGTTCCCATGACGCAGTTGCTGGTGTGGAATTGTCTTGAGAATATCATGTTCTGAATGAGTACATGGATGGTGGTTTTTTACAATTCGCTGAATGTAATGCTTCAAAGTGGAAAAAAAAATGACCAACGAAAGTAAGCTTGCACATTCATCCAATTGTGAGCTAACATTTTGAGGGCCCTATTTGTTTTTCTTTTTATTTTTAGGATGCCATGTGCACTTAGCCAACTATCCACCACCATTCTAATTGACATTCTATATATTTGTGGTTCATTTTAGGAAACATTTTTCAAATTCCTTTGTGCTAAGGATGGAGTGTGTTTTTCATCTTTTTATGGAATTCACATGCTCTATGGATATGGATATAAAAAGATATATATATATATATATATATATATATATTCTCAATAATTGCACAACAAAAGGAAACGAGAGAAAAGGAAAGAGACTAGAAAGCTAGTCCAACCTTCTTTACAATGATGTGGTGTGTGTGTGTATGTTGTGAAAATCCAATTACTTGTAGAACAATTATGTTCATTAGACTTCAGTCTAATTTTTGCAAGAAAAAAATCAGGCTAAAAAAGCATCAAAAGTATTACTTTCTATGGTTCAATATACACATCTACCCACACCCTATATTTTAATTTATTATTACATCATCTTAGATATCCTAACATAGTTCCCCTTTTCTCATTCCCTACTAATTTCAATGTTATGCTTAGTTATTACAATTATTAATATTATTTTCAAGCTTTCAGCTCAATGTGCTAAACAACCATCCATCTAGAATAAGAACCACAAACTTGTTGACAAATGATTTTTTTACAAATTGATGAATGTAAAATTGTAAAGTTTTTATAAAACCAACATATTCTAAAAGAGGTTGCACAAATGCACACAAAAACTCTTATGGATTGTCTAGAATGAATCACAATTTGATCATATGTTTTTGGAATTTATGTTTCTTAATTTATTATATTTTTAAGTTTTTGGTTTCATGTATATATATATTTTTTCTATGGATAGTATTCTGAGTTTATATAAAATACTAGTGGCGAAATTTCTCTTTTGACATTTCATGAAGTATTTTGATTGAAAATTTTCACATTTCAAATTTGTATAGATGTATATTGTGTCATTAATTTAGTGTTGTGTCCTTAATTCATGCTTTGAATATTTATATAATTTAATTATTTTATAATGAGGTATGTTAATATTTTATACTCTTGTTTTGAAAAGAAAAGAAAAAACAAAACAAAACATATAGATATTTTGTTCTTATTAGTACAGAACAATTTAAATTTAAATTTGGTTCATTTACAATGATTAATAAATACCATTACATAAAGTGATTCATATGTAATCCGAGCTCATTTCCTTTAAAAATAAAAAAACATCCTTTCTTATTACACAACAACAACAACAATAATTTGGACAAGAATAACATTATTCTATGAATTTATTTTTTATCGTGTTACATTTACTGGGAATAAATTGGTTCCATTGCAATTTTTCTGCTGTCTAAATAAAAATTCGTGTATTTATCAAAATAATCATGGGCAAAAATAATGCTATTGAAATAATATTTTATTAACTTATTTATTTATGTATTCTATTTATATTTACAGAATTTAATTCTAAAGTCGTTGCTCTTAATACATTTATATGATAGCTTTTGATATAAATTAAAGTCTATATTATTAGTTTATATAAATTTTTTTAAATGTGAAATACTTTGTTGTATAAATAGATTAATACCTCCAAGTAGGCAACTAGGGTCCTATGCTGATTTTTAAGACTTGTACCATCTTAGTAAATAAAAATATCGAAAATGAAAACTCACAGCTAAAAAGCAAATGAAAAGAAACTGTAAGTGCAAAATAAAAACAATACCAATAAAGACACTGTTAATAAACTCTGGGCCACATTGTATAGTGCAAAGTTAGAAAAAATAAGGTGCAATATCACTTTTTGTTGTGTGATTCTTCTTAAATAATTAAAAAATATCATTAAATAAAATCCCTTCACATAATGCCTAATGTATGTTGTATTATGGTAAAGATAAGCATGTGAATACATGACATAATTTCTCTACAAGAGCCAAACATTTAGAGGAAGATAGTTTTATTACAATACACCAAAATAGGTTAATAAAATAAAATAAAATAAAATACTTCTGACATCTAAATAAACAAATAAATCATCCTTTACTATACTAAAATTTTAGAGAAAGTGCTTTTAAGAAACACACGGACTTTTGAAAATTTAAAAATTTCTAAAAATACAAATTGACAGTCTTTATATATGATTTTTTTTTAAATTTTTAAATTTTTTAAAATTATTATAAAGAACCTTCTTTCTTCATTGCTTTAAACCAATATAAAAATGCCTATGTATTCATAGGGTAGTACACTCAGTGTTGGTACTTTAGAGCCACATGCAAATGTTTATTTTAACTTTAATAAAGTGATGTTACAATGTTGTTATTTATTTTTTTATTTTTATTTTTTTTTAATTTCAAAAGCACCTATGAAATGACCGAAAAAAACAATATTATTATTAAAAATGATGAAGTGGTGGCATCATGAATATTTAAATATTAAGAAATAATATAATTATTTAAATACCTTTCACATGAGTAGATTTCTAAACTTAAATTTGAACAAACAAACTAGCGATATATTATGAAAATGTAACTAAAATGTGAGTCTTTTGTGAGGAATTTAAAAATAAATGTTTTAGAAAATAATTTAAGTATATGTTTTTTACAATATAATGTAAATAAGTTTATGCAAATTATTATAATGAGATAAGATATAAATCATATTATCTACTCCATTTAATATTATAAAATAAATATCTTGAGTAAGAAGATAAAAAATCAAATTGAAATATAAAAATAAATAATATGCAATGCTATATATGTAACAAATGAAATCATTTATCTTAGAAAAAAATTTAAATAAAAGATATAAAATACACCATGTTAATATTATTATATTTATATTTAAAAATATATACAAATAATTTATGAATTAGATATTTTTTATTCTTAAATCATATAAATAAAGTTGAAGTTATTAAATTACTATATTTATACTTTCCAACAATATAAATACACCTATCCAAAAATTAAATAAGGATATTATTATTTATTTTTTAATTACTAAAAATTATCTTTTACAAAAAAAACTTCATATTTTTAAAAATTAAATTTTAAAGATATGTAAGTGTGTGTGTGTATATAATAATAATAATAATAATAATGATAATAAATCACACTATAAGAATATATAATTATTTTTCACTCTAATATAAAATATTAAATTAGAGGTTTCATTGTTTGTAGGAATAAATCAAAGAATGACAATGACAATATGAATAATAACATCTTTTATTAGACACAACTCTAGTTACACTATTATTTCTTTACAGATATTTAATAGGATAAATAACATTATTTATCTCTTTAATATTATGGATTTTTCATAATAATTTAAAACTCTCTATCTCTCTTGCTATATATATCTATATATATAAGAATTGATATGCTTAAGAATAACACCTATAACTATTATTAATACTGCCTTTGTATTTTTGTGTTTCTAATGTATAGTAATATCAACATGGCCTACATAAAATAGTAATAATAAAAAAATAAAAATAAAAATAAAAATTTAAAATAATACTAATGCATACAATGATTCAATTCCAATTAGTATTGTTATGTCCATGCAATTTAATATTGATGAGGATCCTATGACTTTATTTGTAAGCTTCATTGTCACTTGTGGATGTAGATGTAAAATTATAGATACATCCCTATCAATAATGTCACTCATTGCAAATTGACATCA